TGTGTGTGTGTGTGTGTGTGTGTGTGTGTGTGTGTGTGTGTGTGTGTGTGTACGTGCGTGCGCATGGGTGCTAATGATCTAACTCAGCTCCTCAGGTTTACACATCAAGCATTTACCGACCGAGCCATCTCTCCAACTTTGAGAATGTCAGTCCTTGCCTAGTTTACCAGTCAGTTGCTTGCTCTGCAGTAGCAGGAAGCCTGATTGCTCTTATGCGCCTACCTAGTTGAACTGAGGTGCCTACAGAATGTGGGTGGGTAGAGAAGTCCTGGGAGCTGTACTAACCTGAGATTCGGCAGCTTGCATGAACAAGCAGCTTAGGTCGGTCTTTAATTTTATTTCTAGAGTGACAAGTAATTGCTTTGTTTTAAAAAGCAAGGTGTTGGGCTTTTCTTTCATTCTGTTTTTTAAGTTTACTCATATGAATGTGTGTCTGTGTGAGTGTATGCACCTATGTGTGGGTGCCCATGGAGGCCTGTGAGGACACTGGATCCACAGAGCTGCAGTTACCAGCAGTTGGAGCTGCTCAGCATGGGTGCTGGGAACCAAATTAGGTCAAATGAAAGAACAGCGAGTGTTCCTAAGTGCTGAGCTATAGCTCCAGCTTGGGTTTTGTTGTTGTTTTGTTTTTAGTTTTTTTAGATTTATTTATTTGCATATATATATATGAATGTGTATTGATTTTTCTTTTACATTTGTTTATTTGTACATGTGTGTGGTGTTGGGATTTTCTTTTACATTTGTTTATTTGCATTTGTGTGTGAGTCAGTCTCTTTTCCCACCATGTGGCCGGCTCCATGGCTTGAACTGAGTTGTTGGGCTTGGTGCCAGGTAGCCATCTTGCTGGCCAAATAATCTTTTTAGTAGGATTTTTCAGCTGTATTGTTTTTATGGAGGTATATTGTAATGCCACCCCCTCATCACATCATACTGAAGTAAATCTCCATTTCCAAACTTTATCTCTAGTAAAATACCCTGAGGTTTACTTCTGGAGTCTGAGAAATAATTGTCAGATCTGCTTTCTGTGTTTGCATGATAGAAGATCCCAAGAATAGTGTATATTTGGAGAAGTACTCGGTAAAGGCCTGTATATACAGTGGTCTTAAGAATCTTGTTAAGAGAAAGGTTCCTCTCATATGCTGGAGAATTGGGGCTTCCTACCTCTGAATTTTGGAGCAGTTTCAACTTTCCTTAGTAGCTGACTTAGCATCTTTTTCTTTTAATTTCAGATTTCAGCTCAGTTACTTATGGCTTCCCCTAAAATTGTTTCCCTCTCTTGGGGACAAATGAACGTGCAAGGCTCTACCTTAACCTATAAGGATTGCAAAGTATGGCCAGGAGGCAGTCGGGCTTGGGACTGGAGAGAAACAGGAACTGAGGTAAGACTCTAGTTGATTGGTTGACACTGCAGAAGGCTGGCCAAGTAACTTCAACCTCAACCGCCAGGTTGAAATCCTGTTCCCTGCTGAGTGTATTCATCACCATTAAGTATGCCCTTCTGAAGTACACAATGTAAGGCTAGAGAGATGGCTCAGCAGCTCAGAGTACTGGTACTCTTCCAGAGGGCCTGGATTTGAGCCCCAGCACTCCCATGGTACTGTGCTACCATCTGTAACTTCAGTTTCAGGGCGTCTAACACTCTTCTGGCCTCTTACAGCATTAGCCTTGTACATACATGTCCAGACATACATGTAGACAGAACGCCCATATACACAAAATAAACTATACATATAATGGGCCCAAAATTCCGTTCAGATTAGTACAGTTACTATTACAGTAATCCCAAGATATTTTTTATTAGCCCCAGAAAGAACCCCACAACCATGAGCATCCAGTGCCATTTTTTTCCATCTCACACCTCCAGTTTTTATTTTTTTAAATTCTTATATATTACATCCTGACCACAGTTGTCCCTCTCTGCAGCCTCTCCCTCACACCTCCGCTCAGAGAAAAAAAGCACACCTCCCAGGGACATCAGCCAAGCACCACATAATCTGTAATAAGACCAAGCACAAATCATCACATCAAGGCTGGACAAGGCAGCCCTTTAGGAGAAAAAGGGTCTCACAAATAGACAAAAGAGTCGGTGACAGCCCCAGTCCCACTGTTAGGATTCCCACAAGAACATCAAGCTACTCAACCAGAACATATGCAGAGGTCTAGGTGAGACCCCCAACAGGCTCCCTCATCTCTGAGTTCCCACGAGTCTTGGTCAGTTGATTCTGTGGGCCCTGTTCTCGTGGTGTGTTCCTAAACCCTCTGGTTCATCTGATCCTTTCTCTCCCTCTCCCTCAGGACTCCCTGAGCTCTGTCTAATGTTTTGTTGTTTGAAATTTAGTCCTTAAGGAGCAAAATTCTAGGCCAAATCAGCCACCTGCCTTGAGGTGAGAGATAGACTTTGCAAGTTCCTGATGTGTAGGTCTTTATCAACCCTTTATCGCAGATGCAGGCTTTAGACCTGTCAAGGTTTGGCTCTGAATCTGAGGCACTATCTCACAGGGCCTTGCATTCCTGAGAGTGCTGGTCATTGGCAGGCATACAGCGGAAGACCATTTCAACCTCCCCTGATTAGTGGGACCACAGGAAGATTGTTCAAAGTGAAACTCAGAGCTCCTGTGGCCCAAGGGTAGAATGTCAGAGTCTGAAATCACTGTGGAGGACTGTTCTCCGGAAGTTTCACCGGACTGTGGCAGAAAAGCAGCCAGTAAGTGATTAGTCAAGAGGCTGTTCATTCAGGTGAGGACAAGGAGAACACAGCTCAGACAGTAGTTTCTACAGGGGATAGATTCCAGCACCCCTTAAACCTTCGCTCACAGAATCTCCTTTCATCACAGTGCAGTCAGCTAACACTACTCCTGTCCATGCACAAGCCTTTAATTTTTCCAGAAGGGAATGATTTTTTTTTTTAAAGGTTAAGCATATATCCTTTTCAATTTGATTATAAAATTCTGATCCACAAAGGATGAAGTCCTCTTGCTTGGTTGCTATAATGGGTAGTAGGCAAGACACTGTTCTACAATTAATAGCTTAACCCCAAGAAAAAACAATGAGCTCTACAGCCCTGGGCTCTGTCGTAAAAGCCTCTTAATAAAGAACGGAATCATGCTCAACAAGAGGCCTGTAGTTGCCTTGAGGAACTGGAAGCAGAGAGGAGCTGAGTGCAGGTTGATGCCGAGATAACAGTGTGATGCTCCAATTCCAGGTTCCACAGGAAGCGGAGAGTAATTACTGCCAGTGCCTGGATCCTCAGGCTCCTGCTGTTCTCTTTTATTGCTCAGTACAGGACACTGCAGGCCTGCAGGAGAGCAGCAGCAGCAGCTGAATTTGTCACGCGTGTTCCACTGATCCAGCATCTTTGCTTAGCTGGGGCTGGCTCTAGTCTGAGTCCCCAGAAGATGACAGTTTCGCACTCTGCAGCCTTGCACTGCATTTCTAGCAGTCTGTGTGGTCTTGTTCCATGACACAATGAGACCTGAGCCCTAAGGGTTGGGGATCCTAACTCCCTTCAAAACAGTTTGTTAAATAACGTAACCACCCAGTTATTTGCATACATGCATTTATTTTAGGAAAGTGAAGCTCTCCAACTCTGACCTGTAATTCTATTAAACATTCACTGTGGTCATAACTCCAGAAAAAAAAAGTAAATTCTTTAAATAATATTTGTTAAGTTCAGGGTGGATCTAGGATTGATCACAGACTGTGGGACTAAAAAGAACATCTGATCCAATTCTTCTATAGTCTTTAATAAATAGTTGTAATCATGGAGCTGGAGGGATAGCTCGGTGAGCTGGTAGCTCACTGGGTACTCCTGCAGAGGACCTGGAATCAGTTCCCAGCACCCACATGGCAGCTGTCTGTAACTTCAGTTCCTGGGGATCTGACACCCTCACACAGACATCCATGCAGACAAAACACCAGTGCACATAAATCTAAAAAAATAAATAGATCATTTAAAAATTATAAGACAAAATAGTTATAATCATGTGACTGTCACCTTTTCCATTTTGCCTTTAAAATTTTTTAAATAACTTTAAAACATTGCAAGCTGGGGCTAAAGAGATGTCTCAGAGGTTGAGAGCACTTGTTTCTCCTCCAGAGGACCAGGTTCTGAGTCCCAGCACCCAAATCATGTCTCATAACTGTAACTCCATTTCTAGGGGATGTTACACCCTTTTCTGGATGCCACAGACATTAGATGTGCACACGATACAGAGGCATTTATGTAGGCAAAACACCTACACATAAAAATGCATAAACATTTTAAGTCAGAAATACCTTTTAAGTTAATTTTTATTTTATTTGTGTGCATAGGTGTTTTGCCTGCATGTACTTCTGTGCACCACTTGCATGCAGTGTTCACAGAGACCGGAAGGGAATGTAGGATCTCCTGGGACTGGAGCTACAGACAGTTGTGAGTCTCCACGTGGATGCATGGACTCAAAACTGGTCCTCTGGAAGAGAAACAATTGCTGTTTGCTTGTTTGTTTCGAGACAGGGTCTCTCTAGGTAGCCCTGGCTGTCCTGGAACTCACTCTGGAGACCAGGCTGGCCTCAGACTGCCTCCTGGCTTGTCTCTGCCTCCAAGTGCTGGGATTAAAGACATGCACACTACTGTGCCCTGCTACAATAGTGCTCTTAACCACTGAGCTATCTCTCCAGCTCACAAACCTAAATCTTTTTTTAAGAAAACCATCTAGAGGCTGGAGAGATGGCTCAGTGGTTAGGAGCACCGACTGCTCTTTCAAAGGACCCAGGTTCAATTCCCAGTGCCCACATGGCAGCTCACAACTGTCTGTAACTCTAGTTCTAGAGAATCTGACACCCTCACACAGTCATACATGCATAGAAAACACTAATTAACATAAAAAAGAAAAACAAAAAAATCTAATCCTCTAAATTATTTCTGCCCTTTGTGGAAAACAGAAAAACTGGAGATATTCTTTCAGCTCTGTACTCTGTCCAAGATAAAGCTGTAACTTTTATTTTGTGGCTGACGTTCTTTTCCATAGTTACAGGCAATGATTAAAATCAGGAACCTAACAAATATTGTCTAATATACAGGCCTCCTTAAGTTTAGCTGTCCAAGAGTGTTGACATGTGTATGATTAAATTGTTCCATTTATTTATTTTATTTTTAAAATTATTTTATTTACATTTGTGTTTTGCCTCCATGTATGTCTGTGTGAGTGTGGACATTACAGGAACTGGAGTCACAGACAGTTGTGAACTGCCATGTGGGTGCAGGGATTTGAACCCAGGTCCTTTGGAAAAGCAGCTATCTTTCCAGTCCATCAGCTGACTACAAATCAGTTTACTAATGATGGTCATTTATGTTGCATTCAACTGTGGGCTACTGTCAATAAAAGTACTGTGAATACTCAAATGAAAGGTTTTGTGTGCTGCCAGGTGCTGTGGTGGACATCTTTAGTCTCAGCATGTGGGAGGCATAGTCAGAAGGATGTCTGGTCTACACAGTGAGCTCTAGGACAGCCAGAACTACATAGTGAGACACTTTCTTGAAAAGAAAACATGAGTTTCCATTTCAGTGTTTTAAGGTAAACTCTTAGGAGGTATGATTGCACTCTTGACCACTGATTCATCTCTACAGTTCTAGCGTTTGGGGTTGATTTTTTTTTTTTTCAGTTCTTTAAAGTATTGTATTCTGTCTCTTCTCTCCTGGCCTTTTAGCTTTCCAGTGAAAAGAGAAGAGAGGGATAGAAAGAGATTTTCCTATGAAAAAAATAGGACTAATATAGGCTAGTTACTGGGCTCTTAGCACAACTGTACTTAGTCATTATGGTTGTTTAGTTGGTTTTGCTCTTTCTTTCTTTCTTTCTTTCTTTCTTTCTTTCTTTCTTTCTTTCTCTTTCTTTCTTTCTTTCTTTCTCTCTTTCTTTCTCTTTCTTTCTCTTTTTCTTTCTTTCTCTTCTTTCTCTCTCTCTTTCTTTCTCTTTCTTTCTCTCTTTCTCTTTCTCTCTCTCTTTTCTTTCTCTCTCTCTCTCTTTCTTTTTCTCTCTCTTTCTTTCTTTCTCTCTTTCTCTCTTTCTTTCTCTTTCTCTCTTTTTCTTTCTCTCTTTCTCTCTCTTTCTTTCTCTCTTTCTCTTTCTCTTTCTTTCTCTCTTTCTCTTTCTCTCTTTCTCTCTTTCTTTCTCTCTTTTTCTTTCTCTCTTTCTCTCTCTCTTTCTTTCTCTCTCTCTCTTTCTTTCTGTCTTTCTTTTTCTCTTTCTTTCTTGTTTCTCTTTGTAGCCTTGGCTGTCCTGGACTCACTTTGTAGACCAGGCTAGCCTCAAACTCACAAAGATCCACCTGCCTCTGCCATCTCTCTGGGTACAGGCCTGAGCCACCGCACCCAGCTTGTTTTTGGGTTTTCAAGACAGAGTTTCTCTATATAGCCCAGGGTGTCCTAGAATTCCCTCTGTAGATCAGGATAGCCTCGAACTCAGAAATCCCCCTGCCTCTGCCACCCAGGGCATGGCTCTATGTTTCATTCTTTCAAGCTTCAGGTTGTTGCTTCTTGGTATCAGAGCCCAGTAAAAAGCTGGGTTCTTTATAGAGCTCGTTACAGCTTTATAGAGCTTTATAGAGCTCGTTACAGCAGAACTTCAGAGTTCACTATAGCATAAGTAATGTGTGTCTGAGTTCACATTCCAGCTCTACCACTTGCCATTTGCGTCATCTTAACCAAGTTGTGCATTTTTTTCTGAGCCTCAGCTTTCTTATCTGTAGTGTGATAATGGAGGCTTTTGTGCTTAGCTTTCCCTTCTTCTTTGTCTTTTATTGTTTTTGTTTTGTTTTGTTCTTGAGAAAGGGCTTCTTTATGTTTCCCTAGTTGCCCAACCCCAGGATTCTTAATTGTTTCCTAAACTGAAATCTTAACATGGTGTGCAGTTGCTGCCTTCTCCTACACACCTGCCACTCTGCCTGGGTCATACTGAATACTTCATCTTTATAACTGTGTGTGTGTGTGTGTGTGTGTGTGTGTGTGTGTGTGTGTGTGTGTAGGTATGTCCACACGCCATAAGAAGGTATCAGATCCCCTGGAGCTGGAGTTGCAGACAGTTGTACTGCCAAGTGTGGGTACCACGGCTGAAGCATGTCCTCGTCAAGAACAGTGTACATGCTCAATCACAGACACCTCAGCCCCTGAATTTACTTGCTAATTCTGCTTCTCATCCCACCGAAATTGCCTGCTGGCCACTGTGACACATGCCTATAATCCCAGCACAGCATAGTTGAAGGCAGAAGGCTCAGGAGTTTAAAGATGCCAGTCTGAGCTACATGAGCTCGGCCCAAAATGGAGATGGGAGGGTGCATGGAGAAGAGAAGGAAATCTTCTGTTTCTTATGAGGCTTGGGGCTCCTTGAACACACCACTGAAGCTTCTTTGTTATTCCCGTACCCAGAATACGAAACTAAGCTTGGCAAAGAGTGACATTTCTAGAATGAACCCCATAAGAATGTCTATCGTCAGGGCTGGAGAGATGGCTCAGTCGTTAAGCATCTGCTGCTCTTACAGAGGACTTGGGGTTTAGTTTCCAGCACCTACATGAAAGCTCCTAACTGTCTGACTGCAGTTCCAGTGATCAGGTGCCCTCTTCTGGCCTTGGTGGCCACCAGGCACACACATGCTGCACATGTACACGAGGGTAAAACATACATACACTTAAAATAAAACATTTAAAGAATTCTACTGTGAAGAAAGATTAGTACCTTTCTGCTTTCTCCTCCCTATCCAGCATTCTCCCGGGGTGCAGCCTGCAGATGTAAAGGAAGTTGCTGAGAAGGGTGTACAGACTCTTGTCATTGGCAGAGGAATGAACGAGGCCTTGAAGGTAGGTTATTATGTCAGAGCATTCCCGACAACAGGCACTTACCTCTTGGACCTTAGCTTTGATCAATGTCTCCTTCATTAGAGCTCAGCTCTGAATGTCATGTCCTCTCATTTCAATGAGCAGTTAAGAGGCTTTGGATGAGTAAGACTGTACATTATTCCACTTGTTCAGTACTGGGCTTTCCAAGTCTGTGTGCCTAACCCTGATTGTGTGGTTTTCTATGTTGCACAGTTATCAAGTCAGTCAGTCATGTGTGGTCATCAGTGGGAGTTCACTCAAAGCAGTGCATCATCGTGTCTCTCTGTCACCGTGTGCGCATCGGAGTGTGCCGACAGCAGCAGCGTCAGCGGTGATGCACTCTTACAGAACCCCACCGAAATGTGGCGTCTTTATTTGGATGAAAAAGCCATTGAATACACACTTATATTTTGGACTTCTGGGCCTCTTGCTCCTCCATTCTGAATGCTAAGAGTTCAGGTGCGCACTACCGCACACAGCCCACGCCATGTCGGGGTGAGCTCAGAGCTTCATGCGTGCTGGCAAGTATCTGCCGGCTGAGCTCCGTCTTCAGTACTTTATCATTTTTATTTTGTTTTCGCTTTCACGGGATCCCTGCCCGGCCTGGAACTTGCTGTGATCCTCCCGTCTCTACTTTCCAAGAGCTGGAAATAGAAGCATCAGCCACTATGCCCAGCTTACTACTTGACATTTTGATAGTATATTTTATAGTATTTATTTTTATCTTATTTCAAGTTATATTTTTGCTGCTTTCAGAAAATAAATTTGTTTCATTTCATTTGTACAGATAGCATCTGCTTATTGTAAAACATTGAGAGTTAATGAGTAACTATAGAAGTAAGTTAACAGATCTGTGCTCTGCAATCTCTACATATAAGTCTTTGCATATTATCTACAAATATATTCAAACCGACACATATGCAGATTTAGCTGTGTCACATAAATAGGATCATGTCACACACATTGTTCTATAATTCTCACTTACATTGCTATATTATAAACAGAATAAGCGTATAGAGATCTACATAATTATATCCCTTCTAAAAATGCCCTGCAATTCTGTTCTCTACTAATGAAGGTACCATTATCTTGTAAATTGTTAAACTAGGGACTGGAGAGAGGGCTCAGAAGTTACGAGTACTTGCTGCTTACACATGCTTGCTATTCTCCCAGAGACCCCAGGGTCAGTTCACAACAGACCCCAGCACCCACAGGGCAGCTCACAACTGTCTCTAACTCCAGGGGATCTGACACCCATCCTCCTCCATGAACACTGAGCAAAGAGGTGGTGCCCAGACATCCATGCAAGCAAAACACTCACAAAATTAAAAATAAATACATCTAAATTTTAAAATTTAAGCTCCTCTTTTTCTGTTTTGATAATCTGTATTAGGCTTTTGGCAATAAATTTTTCAAACATAAAAAAGATAGGGACTAGTTAGAAATATTTCACTCAACTCTGGAGATCAAGTTAAAAAGATTCAGGACAAATCAAAATTAGTATCGTCCATTAATAGTTGCGGCTATGAAGAGTACTATCTCAGCTGCAGAGAGAAAGCTCGGTTGATGAAGTGCTTGCTTTACAGGCACAGTGACCTTTGTTCAGTTCCCCAGAATCTATGCAAAGAATCAAGCAGCCCAGAAGCGATGACTCAGCAGTTAAGAACACTAGAGAGGACCCATGCAATGGCTCACAACTACCTCTGACTCCAGCTCTGGTACCCTCTTCTGGTCTCCACAGGCCCTAGGCACAAATGTGGGCACAGACATACATGCCAGAAAAAAAAAAAAAAAAAAACATACACACAAAATAAAATTGAAATACAGAATTAAAAAATATTTGTGACTTAAAAGATTTATTGATTTTTATTTTATATGTAGTTGTTTCATCTGTATGAACATCTTTGCAGTATGTATGTACCTATTGCCTGATTGAGACCAAAAGAGGCGGAACCTCAGGACTGGAGTTACAGATGTGAGCTATCATGTGGATACTGGGAATCAAACCTGGATCCAACAAGCGCTCTTAATTGCTGAGCCAAGTCTCCAGCCTGTTTTTTAATTGATGGTGGTAACATAACCTCATTTGCCTTATTTATCTCAGTCTTCAATGCCTAGAACAGTGTCTTAGCTATAGAAAATACTTAAAATACATAAGTGCAGTTAGGGAAATGATACCTTATCTCTTTTGTTTGTTTTGTTTTGGGGAGATTGTTTTGTTGGTGGTGGTAGTGATCTTTATCTTTTGTTTGTTTGCTTCTTTGGTTTTGGGTTTTTCAAGGCAGGGTATCTCTGTGTAACAGAACCTTGGCTGTCCTAGCTCTACTCCTTCCATAGGCCAGGCTGGCTTCAAACTCACAGAGATCTCTCTGTGAGATCTGCCTCCCAAGTGCTGGGATTAAAGATGTGCACCACCACTGCTCTGCTTTGTTTGTTCGTTTTTTTGAGACAGCCTCGTTTTAGCCTGGCTGGCTTGGAACTCACTATGTACACTAGGCTGGCCTCAAACAAGATCATGTGGCCTACATATATGTCTGTGCACTGGTTGCATTCAGTGTCCATAGCGAAACAGCATACACATAAAAAATAAAATAAATCTTAAAAAAATATTGAAAACACCAAACTGGAAACTTCAGATAGTAAATGCTGCAAATAGTGCAAACACAGTGGTGCCGTGGGAGAGGCTGCTTATGGCTGCTCATGAAGTGCCACTCTGAGGAGACATTTGAATTGCAGAGTACACAGTGTCAGTGACATCCTCATACAAACTTTGATGTAAGTATTGTTGGTCCGGCCTTATTGGAGAAGAAACTGAAGGGTCTGACACTTACAAAAGCTGTTGCAAAGTCTTTTGGTTTGGCACAAGGAAAAGTTCGACTTTAGACTTACATTGAACTGACTCATCAAACTTTAAGATTTTATACGGCATGGGATATGCACCATGTCAGACACTTCTGTACCTTAACTGGGTTCTCATAACAACCCTGTGAGCTCGTTATGACTAGCTCTCAGTTATAAACAGGAATAAGTGCTAAGTTTGAGTCCTTACTCAGAATCTTCAATCCAGGGCTGACTCAAAAATTCTGCTTTTCTCCTTCTCTTTTCACTGTGGCTAAAGCATCGGTGTGGTGAGGCTTTTGGAAACTTGACAGTAGTCTGTCTTTCCCACCCTAGTACTGGGGAGTGAACACAGGGCCTCATGCATGCTCGTATACTCCAAGCCACTGCAGGATAACCCCAGTTCCTCAGAGGCTCTTCTGAAACTCACTGGGGCTCCCTGCCAAATTTTGGAATGGTGAGACACTGGGTGATTGAGAAGGGACAGGTGTTCTGTCTAATTCTGTAAAGTACACTTGCCTTATGTCAGGAAAAGAAGTTCTGGGTCCCTTCCCCCTTCTTATCTCTTTTCCTTCTTTACAGGTGCCTCCATCCACTGTGGAGTACCTGGAGAAACAAGGCATTGATGTGCGGGTCTTCCAGACAGAGCAGGCAGTGAAGGAGTATAACGCCCTGGTTGCACAAGGAGTCAGGGTAGGAGGCGTCTTCCATTCCACCTGCTGATGGAGTCCACAGAGGAGAATAAATCACTAAACAGCAACGCCTTGACTATCCCATTCTCCACCGGGCATTTTGAAGACATGTTCATGTTCTGGGGATAGATTGATGGAGGCTAAGGCAAAGTTCTTCCCTTCAGGTTGCTTAAATCAGAAAAGAGTGGCATCTACCGAAGTCTAGTAATGTAGTATGTGTCAGGTGCAAAGTGTGAGAAACCTCATATAAAAATAAAGGTTGAAACTTGAAGGCCAAAAAAGTTGAGAGCATTAAAGATCTTTGGGACCTTTATCCATTAATCCAGTGTTTTGGGGCATGGGAGAAGAAGGATTTGAGACAGGATCCCCCTGGAACTTGCTATGTAGACCAGGCTGGCCTCAAACTAACAGAGATTGGCCTGCCTCTGCCTCCTGAGTGTTGAGATTAAAGGTGTGCATCACTATGCCCAACCTAAATATTTTTTTAATAATTTTATATGCCAGACACTGCTGTAGCTTCCAGAGAAACAGCAAAAATGATTTGTTCTCATAATACTTACATGCTAGTCCAGAAATTAAATAAACAAATACAGGCTGTAGATAAAATCAGTTATGAAAAAGTAGGATAAGATGAGGGGTAGAGGCTATTTCAGATGTGGGGTCAAGGAAGATCTTTAAGCCATCAACATGAACAAAACATTGAGAAAAGTGAAGGAGCGCTTGAGTGGAGATATGCCACAGCTGGGTCCCAGGTAGACTGCTGCACTAACTAACCGTGGCCCTGAGCCACACAGTTCTCAGACCCCTAAACAGAAGATGTTTGGGCTGGACTAGCTGTCGGTTTTAGGGTCTCTATTGCTGTGATACAACACCATGACCAAAAGCAACTTGAGGAAAGAGTTTATTTCCGCTTACAGCTTGTAATCCATTATCCAGGGGAGTCAGGGCAGGAAATGGAGTCGGGACCTGATGCAGAGGCCACGGAGAATAGCCGCTTACTAGCTTGCTCATCATGGCCCAGCCTGCTTCTTAAACCATCCAGGACCATTTGCCCAGGGATGGCCCCACCCGCAAAGAGCTGGGCCCTCCTACATCAATCATCAATCAAGAAAATGCCCTATAGACTTGCCCATAGGCACTCTTATGGATACACTTTCTCTATTAAAATTCCTTCTTCCTGGTGGGCATGGTGGCGCATGCCTTCAGTGCCAGCACCCAGGAGGCAGAGGCAAGTCGATCTCGATGAGTTTGAGGCCAGTGTGGTCTGCAGAGCAAGTTCGAAGATAGCCAGAACTACACAGAAAGAACCTGTCTCATTAAAAAAAAAAAAAAAAAGAGTCCTTCTTGCCAGAAGGCCTATCATGTGTCAAGCTGACATAAAACTAGCCAGCAGTGTCCTCTAAAGATTCCCACAGGCTCAGATTATTATTATTATTAGGCTCCTATTATTTAGAACAGGTGGCCTTTGTGAAACTTCAGACTATACTGAGAGAACTTTAAATTATCAGTATCCCTTTTTAAATTTTTTCTTTTTCTTTTTAAAAAAATTTATCTTTTATGTTTGTTTGGATGTTTTGTCTGCATGTATGTCTGTGTACTGTGTGTGTGAGAGGCCAGAAGAGGGTGTTGGGTCCTTTAGAACTGGAGTTACAGATGGTTGTGAGCTATCATGTGAGTGCTAGAAGTCAACTCAGGTCTTCTGGAAGAGTAATTAATGCTCTTAACATCTGAGCCATCTGTCCAGCCCCTATTTTATTTTTTCCTTTTTAAAGAACCATAAAAGCTGAGTATAGTGGCACATAGCTGTAATCTGAACATTCCAGAGTCAGAGGCAGGAGGTTTGATCTTGAGGCCAAGTTGGGCTACATGGTGATTTCCAGGCCATCCGGGCTACAGAAAAAGACCCTGTTTCAGAATAGCAGCATGGGGGCCTGGGTGAAAGGCTGAGTGCAGGCTTTGTTTTCAGATGGCCTTGGTTTGAAGTCAGTTCTCTGATAGTCACTGGGAGGTCTTTATTCTCTCGGAGCTTCACTGTCAGATTGTGTCTGTCCGATTGTTAACACCTGTGCCACTGTAGGTATTCCATGAGATAATTTGCAGTAACACTTAGCTCATCGACTGGCATGTGGTAAGGCCTGAATAAACCAAAAGCATCATTGTCACCATCACTCCATTAGTGGAGCCAAGGTGAACTGACTAGTTTCTTTTTATGGTTATTACATAGCATCTTATTACTTTACACACTTATAGAACATTGAAGCCCAAAGCAACTATCTCATTTATTCAGCAACTATCTCCCATGCTCACTTACTGAAAATCTATCTACTAAATATCTTAGGGCCAGTTGTTGCTGGATCCTAGAAGTCTGGAGAGGTGCAGCTTACAGTTCTTAATCTTAAATATGTGAAAATGCCAGGCCGGGCAACGCACAATGAGGCGGTAAGGCAGGAGAATCACCACAAATTCCCAGCCAGGTCTACATAACAGGTTTCAGGTCATCCAGAGTTACAGAGTAAGATCCTGTATCCACCTTCACTCCCAGAGTGCTATGTGGAAGACAGTCTATAATAGTTACAAGATCCGAGGGCAGTGTTAAGAAAAGATTAATTTAGCTTGACCAGGATGAGAAGAAAGGTAGGAAATGTACCAGCAAGGAGATGACACTTAAGCTGAGTCTTTGGAGATGGCTCAGCATTTATGAGCATTGCTCTCATAGCTGATTGCACCCACATGCCCACATGGAAGGCTCACAGCAGTCTGTAAATCCAGTCCAGGGGGACCTGACACGGCCTTCTGTCCTCCATGGGCACTGCACACACACGGTACACAGAGACACATATAGGAAAAACACTTATACACATGGAAAAAGACTTCTAAAATGCCCGTCAGCTCACTAGATGTACTTGGTAGCTGCCTAAACTGTACATTTCCTAGATATATTTATCACGTGTAACTAAATAAAAATCACTGTACTCTAGCTAGTGTTAGAGCAGTAGTCTTAAGAGGCTGTTCCCACCCTCCCCGAGCTACATGGGTGGCCCAGTTAGACGTCTTTTAAATTTTTTTATTTTACAAAAATTTTAATGTAGAAAATCATGATAATTTACAAACGAATCTCTGTGAGGGCCTATACCAGCACCCCATAGGAACTGTAAAGACGGGGAGGAGAATGAGCCATCAACACCTTCAGGACCTGCACATGCCCAGGCATCTGTGTGCTGGCTTCAAGGTGCCTGGGCCCTGCCCCTTGCCTCCCACTGATCACTCCCACAGGTGAAGAATTGGGTTAAGTTCAGAACAGAAGGTGGAGATGGACAGATCATTGAAAGGAAGAGAGGCAGGAGGCTGCTGCTGGCTCTTGTACCAGTCATCTGACCCAAGGCTATGCCCACTCTGGGAGAACTGGCCATTCCCTCTCTTCTCTGGGGGTGTAGCAGAAGCACAGCCACAGGACCAGGAAGGGAACTGAGGAAGGAGTGACTGTGTGGCAGCTGGTGTGGGAAAGCTAGAAGCCTCAGACGAGGCAGCTGCTGATGCGTGCCTCCAGTTGGCATCTTACTGGAGCCAGTCCATCAATTAGAGAGCAACTTAAGATGTGGCTTCCTCAGAAAAGACCTAGAGTAAAGTTGGAGATACTATTTTAGCTTCACTCAGTAAGTGGCCAGGTCAGGTTAGCATTAGCCTTGTGTTTTCATCTCTGTCCAGCAATACACTTCCTGGTGTCCCAGCGGTCTCTGAGGACAAGCTCCTCACAAACTTGACACCCACTGTAGATCTGGGAGGTCCTTCTCAGTGCCCTTGTCAGATGACTGACAGGATCTTTCTAGCTATGTACACTTGGCTTATAAAGTCAATCCTATGAAGCTGTGAGGGATCTTTGGTAATGTAATTCCCGTCCCCTCCTTCCACCACAATCTAAATTAAGATGGCTCCAGTGGGTACTGAGTCAGGTATGCATTGTCCCTACATTATTAAAAAGAATTAGGTGGGGAGGGAGAGCAGTGAAAACTCAGAGTGAGAAGTGTCTGGCAGTTTGGTCATTAAGCTCCATGTAAAAGCTGCTAATGACTAGCACCCACTTCCACATCTGGTCTGTATGCTAGATATGGAAAGAAGCTACTCTTTCTTTCCTTTTTTTGGTTCTCTGTGCAGCCCTGCCTGTCCTGGAACTCACTCTGTACACCAGGCTGGCCTTGAACTCAGAGATCCACCTGCCTCTGCCTCCCAAGCGCTGGATTAAAGGTGTGCGCCACCACAACCCAGTTGAGAAAAGCTATTCTTCTGTGAAGTTATACTTTGTCCCATTTATTAATCTTTTAAGTCCCTTGATTCAGTTTATAGGAACCACAGCCCTCAATGCATTCTAGCACAAGTGGTTGCTCAGGCAATAATCAGCCATGTGTCACATACCATTTTCAGAAGTTTGGACTCAGGGTTTGCTCTGATGGTCATGTCATGGCTCCTTCCTTTCCTTGCTAGGAGCTGGGCTAGAGACACACCACCACGAACATTTCTTGTCAGTGAAAAAGTGTAGAGCCAGATGTAGAAAACAACAACAACAACTCTCATATTTCACAGAACCAGACATTTCTGAGCACAAGGAATTTTAAAAGTTGAGCCTACCTCCTCAAATAATTGAATTCCTCACTGACAGGCTTGTCAGGATTTGTTCAAACTCTGCCCAAACTCCACCAGCATGGCAAATGCCACAGATCCTAGTACAGCCCATTCAGTTCCCACACAGCTTTTAAAAAGGTATCCTGCTCCCTGAGTTAAATCCCCCAATCACGTATGTCCACCAAGTACAGAAATGTGCATCTGGGCCTTTAAGAAAAGAGCAAGCCCTAGCCTGGGCTCTAAGGAAACATGCGTCCCTCAAAGCCTGTTTCCCACCTGGACTGGAGAGAGGCGAGAGGGAAATTTTAAGTTTTAATTTTACTTAAATGTGTGCACCTGCTGTGTAAGTGTACGCAGTGCCTGGGGAGGGGCCAGAAGATGCTTCAGCGTACGTGGAGCTACAGGTGTGTGAGCTACCACGCATACTAGTGGGATTGGAACACTTGTGCCTATAATTGACCAGAGAGCACACTTAACCCCTGAGACACCTCTCCAGGCCTGGTGGGAATTTTTTTAAGGGGTACCATATCTGAAGAGTATCCAGCATATTCCATTAGATTTCCAAAAGTTACACCATAATGTAACTGAGTTCAGTTAGCAGCTGGGGTCTAAATGTTTTCATTTTTTCCCACAGTCCAGCAGAGGCTGTCTGCCCAGGCCCGGG